CCTGGCCCTGGGCACTAGGAACACAACTTCAGGGAGAGTGCCTGTGGACAATGTGTGGTTCGCTCTGGAAATGCAATACATGGTGCTGGACTTGGGCCAGACCTTGCAGCCAGGTAGCAAATATGAGCTGGACCTCTGCTTCTCTGGCCAAGTGCTTCAGCATGCCTCAGAGGGGCTCTTCCTAAACTTCTACATCGACCAGGGCGAGCACAGGTAAGGGGCTTGTGGCACAGTCTCGCATCCATCCCCACCCAGCAATGTTCATCTCTGTGATGCACATTCTGCCCCTAGAAAGATATTTTCTCCTCTCCCAGAGCCAAAGGTGAACACTTCCTTCTTTTTCTTCCTCTAAAACTCTGCTAGGAATAAAGACGTTCAGAACCAGGTTCTCCCTCTTGCTAACTTTTCAGCCCTACTTCTTCCGCCCACCCAACTTGCCCACATCCAGGTTGTTCTCACCTCCGAAGTTTATCGTTAATTTTGTTGTTGTTTTAAGAAAGCCTTTATCTACCTAGAAAATTCTAGCTGTCTAAACAAATTCTTTCCTTCTTAAGCATTAGTACTTTGACTAACAACAACTGCTAATCCCTTAGAACTGCCTAGAAACACAACTGTTCGAACCCATGCCCCACCAAAGGAATCAGAAACTGCCAGTGCTTCTGGCCTTAAAGCTGGAGAAGCTAGAAGCATCCTTCTTTGGTATAAGTGTCTCTGCTCACAGAGCCAAGGCACTAAACTTTGCTCTGCCCCGCTCCATCTAACCAGGCTAGCTGTGGCTATACAAACACAGCCACAACTGGGTTGTTTGTTCCTGCATCCTGTTCTGTTTGTTGGTTTTACTAAGGTTTCTCAAAAACTTCAGAATAACAATTCATTTATCTGTTCCACAGCTGCCAGGGCCCTCAATGCCTTTTGCGGGCCGTCTGTGGCATCTGGTGCATTTTGCCCAACTTCAGAGCCCTGCACTTCTGGAATTTCTCTGCTGGGATTTGCCAGTCCATGTAACTGTGTATATGTTCTTATACTCACTCGCTTGTGAGAATGTCTCTGACAGGGGGCGTTTCCAGCCACTCCTCGTGAAGCTTCTCTTGGGGGGCTCTGAGGTCACACTACAGAAACCCTGCCAAAGTTGTGAAAATTGGACGATAACTTCCTCCATTTACCCACTGGAGGATCATTTGTATCTGCACACCTTTGTGCACTTTGCCCTTTATTAAAGAAAAACGTTCTTAGATACTGGGGGCGGGAACCACATCGAAGTACATGCTAACCCGCCTCTTAAACATTTTTCAAAGCTTCAAAGGTCTTAAAGAAGGTTAATGAGTTGCCTAAGTGGATATGCAGTCTTAACTTTGAAAGGACGAAGTGTTTG